TGTGTCCCAGTTACACACTGGTGGGACCTTCATCTGTTCTGACTTATACTTCTCAACCGCTGATCACCAATTTTGTAAGTCAAAAATACCTAGGTATAAATGACAGCAAATTCCCCACCTTCCAGCAAGAGCCATGGTATAATTTATTTAATTCCTATAATGTTATGTGTCTTTGCATCCATCCCACATAGTTGTTCTAGAACTGGCTCTGTCTGCACTGTGCTGGACATTAGTATGGTTTGAGCAGGACAAAATGTGGTTGTACTGAAATCAGGTATACTTCACTGCTGTTTCCCCAGCTCTCTGCACTCCTCCAGGCTTTCCACATTATTAACACATACACCATTCATTGCTGTTGTCCTGGGAAATGAGTCATCTCTCATCAAGTCAGCAGCAGGGCTGCCATCGCCCTGAGTTTGTTCAAGTCTGTGAACAGTTATTTACAGTAGGAAAATAGTTTCCAGCTTGAGGATAATAATGGGGAATGTTATATTTACTGTTGTTATCACTTCCAACTTGAGGAGCTCTTCTTCAGCTTGGAATTGGAATACCTGAGGAAACAGAATGAAAGTAGTTCATAAAGTAGGTGCACATTATAGTCAATAAATGCTGTTGTCTGGACACGTACTTGTGACACAGTCCCACATGAGATCTGAGCAGTATCCAGGGGATTCTTCACTATTTAATTCCAAACTTAAAAACAAACAAACAACAAAAGTAAATGGGATTCCAGGAAACACATCTACCAGGTGAAGCAGGAAGAATGAGTTGGCAGTAAACTTCTCGAAAATTCTTACTTAAAGAGCAAAGAATAAGGCCAAAATAGCACGTAAACAGCAGAATATTTGGTTTCAAGCTGGACAAAATCTGTTTGGCTGACTCAAGATGACTTGTTCTTCTTTAGAGGAGCAGGGCAGAAAATTCTGTTTCAGCTGAACTCAAGCAGATTATTTTCCTTTTAATGCTTCAGTTCAGCTGCTGGACCTGACCCACCAGGCCAGCAAAGGCCCATGCCTACGTCCTGTGGCCTCCTCTGGTAAGGAAGGGCTGTTGATCCAAATATGTCTGCCTTGGCTGACAGAGGCTGGTCAGGATGGAATGTCACAGAGGCCAGAATAAGCTACCTTCAGCCTTGTGGCATCAAAGTTGTGCCCATGCATTCAACTTGCAAGAGGGACTGTCAAAGGCAGCACTTATCCACACAGGGTGTAACTGTCCCAGGGGCTTACAGTGAGGGTGGGAATGGGAACAGAAAGATAGTGGGAACTTAGCATGAGTGTGAGCTACTGGCAGCAAGCACCTGGGACACCCACAGCCCCGCTCTCATGGGAGCCAGCGTGGGAAAACTGACAGTATAACGCTTTACCCAGAGAGACAGGAAAAGGGATGTTAAAAGTGAGACTGAGCATACTTAGTCTGTTGGTTTGTGTCCTCTTCCCACCCCACCTGGCCAATTGTTTTATTTTGTTTTATTTCTCTTCTGTTTTAACAGCCCCGAAGCACCACCCCTGCTGTAGTGCCTCAGCTTGAGGTGACGGATCAGCAGCCACCTCTCACATATTTCCCATGGGCACAGCCCCTCTCTGCACTGCCAGCCTCCACTTTGCAGTACCAGCCAGCTTCTTCCACGCTTTCCGGGCCACAGTTTGTGCCCTTGCCGATCTCCATTCCTGAACCAGCCCCCCAGGAGCTGGAGGATGCCAGACGGGTCATCGGCACACTGCCCATTGAGAAGCTGCTTCTAGAAGATGAAGACAATGATACGTATGTTTTAAACCACGCTCTCTCTGTTGAAGGGCTTTAAGTTGCATATCTAGGGCCTGACCCTCACCTACTCAATACTCTACCTGGCACCACAGTGAGTTTTGAGTACAGAGGAAAAGCAGGCAGGGGGGTGGGGTGGGAACTTTACTTGCGATTTTGGAGTCCACCTCTAGCACAACATGACGTGTGTTGTGTGAAACTTGCTTTGTCCTGGGTCCCAGCACAAGATTTCTCTGCTGTTACAGTCCCTGCTACCTCTCCCAGGCAGGCTTTTCATACTGCATAGTTCTTATGCTTAGCGTCAGCATGAGATGACTTTCATCCTCAGACAGAGGGCATGGTCTCAAATTGAGATACTATAGCGTAGCCACGGCCAACTGTAGCATCTAGTGAGGGTACACTTGACTCTAAATATCGGCAAGACCTAGTTTGCTTTCCAGAGCTCAGTGTAACTGGCTTGTGTGTGTCCTTGCCCTGTCCACGGAGGAACCTCTACCTGATCTAGGCCACTAGAAAATATTTTTGAAGCCTAAATTGACAGTTTTCTTTCCTAAATTGAACTGCTCCTTTAGAAAATAGGAAAATGTAAAGTGTAGTTTTGTTATACTGGTGCAGGTATGTGCATTAGTCTGAAGACAAAAAAGTCAGTACAGCTGAACTAAACACCAGTGCAGTCAGACATGTCTATTTACAGAGCAACACAAAGTAGCCTAGAAGAAATGTTTGAGTTCACACAAAGGTGTAACTTGAAGGTCTCACCTTGTCTGCCACTGGAAGACAGCCATATAGGTGTGGTGCAGTGGTTTGAGGTCATGGTCTTTCAGATGCAGAATGTTTTTGGACTTGAAAATATCCACTCTTGAGACAGGGGGGCTGATTTTGTGGCTGGCTGGTAGTGCTACATATTCTGCCAATGGACAGATCCTGGTGCCACTGAAGTCACTGAGAGTTTTGCCTGAGTCAGGATTGCAACACATGGCCCTATATCAGGAGATCATTGAGAAGACAGGGTCTTCCAAAATCTGCACTTCAGTCTAACGAGGAATTCATGGCATTACTATTAGCCAGCAATACTTTCGTTTGTTCTGTAGCATTTGAGTGTGAAGTTGGTGATGTTGTGCTGAGCCAGGTAACCTTAGTGACCTCTCTTGTGCCTTACTGCTATAGAAAGTTTCTCTGTGCTGCAGTCTCCTAGGCCCCACAGGTGCACACCTTTTCTTTATAGGTTTCTGATTGTCTTTCCTGGAGAATGAGTAGCTTTACTTTTTCCTCTGATGCAACTGTAAATATTATTGTTGATGTTCAGGAGTGCCGTGCCACAGGCAAATGTATTTGCAGGAGATATATCCCCTTCTAACTCTGTTTATTGTTTTCTTAATAAACAAGGGACACTTGGCTGGTGAACACAATTTCTCTGGGTTTTTCTGCTTTCTAAAGCCCAGGATCCTTAGGTGATTTTATTATTTTTAAGACTAACTGCAAAATAACTTATTGCACTGTTTATTACCTGGTGTCCAGCATTCCAGTTACCACCCAGGAAATATTTCAAGTGACCTTGCAGTTTATGCCTGAGTGAGGTTTGCAAACTCAGGTTGAAAGTCTTGAAGACTTTCAAAGCATATTTCGTTATTTAATATTGACAAATCTGGAAGACATAAGCAATAGATCATGTAAGTGATCATAAAGTTGTTTGAAAATAGCAGTAGTTCAGGTGCATTGAAATTAGTGGCTTACATTTGCAGAAAAACCCAGCAAAGAAATTAATTAGAAGGAGCTTAGTTCACCACTGCTTACTCCAGTTTTATAAGTACAAAGACATTCAGTAGCTAAAACTGGGATAATGCAGTTGTGAATCAAGCCTGTGGTTGCTAAGATTGCTTTTAAATTTCTTTCACTCCAATGTATGTAAATTCTGTGTGCAAATATAAAACGATGATGAACTGTTTCAGAATTTCTTTCTGGGTTGTTCTGGTTAGAAAAAGACAAAATCTTTTTCAATAAAGATCTACAGTAACTTTCATATGCCTAGAGTGTTTTATTTCCTGCCCAAAAGGGTAACCCAGCATTGGTTTGACAATCAATTAATTCAATAACATATGTACAGGCTAGAACCACAGATTAGCTGTTAGACTTTCTGATAATTTTTCACATTAAGGCAGACTAAGAAGGAACTCTGTGATCCAAATACATCCTGGAGGCACTGTTTACTCAAACAGTCCGTACTCACAGAAGCACTCCTGCAGCTCAGATGTTACTTCAATCACTGTTCTCCTTCATTGGCATCCCTGGGGATGTGTGCGTGCTTGACTGAAAATCAGACTAGCCATAAAGTTGCGTTTCTACTTCATGAAATTGCGCAGTGTGGCTCTGGGTACAAAATTACCTGAGGAAAGAAACAACTGCCTACCACCTTGTGACTAAGAAGTATCAAATGTTGCTGTCTGGACTGAAACAAACCCAGGGACTGATACTACTGCATGTAGGATTGTCTGCTCTTTTGCAAGGGGGAATTGCAAAGCTACCTGTGCATGCCTGGTACCCTTGCAAATAGGACCTGGGGGAATGGAAGCGGCGAGCAGCTCTCTGTAATTCTCTCCAGCTTCAGCCACAAAGCCAGACAACCAAAGCGAAGCAGTGAAGTGTCTTCTCCATCACTAAGGGCCATGTCACCTACAAGCCCATAACTGCTACAGGTTGTAACAACTCTTTGTCTTATGCACAAGACAAGGACTCAGTCCCTCTCACCAGCAGTTTTGACAAAGTAGATCTTAACAGGCTGTTTACAAATACACCATTTAGAAGAGGCTGTTCATTATTCCAGGTGGTGAGATATCACCAGTGCATACAAGGCTGTGTCAGCCCAACAAGCATTACACACATACCATATGGTATGCTGGGCCCCAACACTAGGCTTTGTGGAGGACTCAGATACCTCCCAGCATAAGGGTGAATCTCACCTGAAAGGAAGTGCTGAAGTGGAAAGGAGGCAGCACGTCAAAGCTCAGGAGTGCTGAGGGCTTCTGAATGCTACAGTTATTTTGAGGTAGGAAGCCCTCTTTCAACAGGAGTGGGTGCTTTCAAGGTCAAGCCTTTGGGTCTTATTGGTGTGGTTTTGTGGAACACTGGGTATAAACCCACCAAAGTGTCTATGCTACCCTGTAAAACTGTTTGCTGCCAGGGTGGTTCATGGCCAAGCAGTGATCGGTTTCTTTATTTACTGTCTTAGAATTCTACATATTTATGCAGCTAAAGGTATGAGGGCGTATACATTGGCAGCTGCAGAGCGCATGAAATTCCTGAGAAGACTTGATGCCAAGGAACACAGAGGAAAGGTAATACAGACCACTTTATTCTGCAAACAGTGGTATTTGAGGTGGGTATGGGCTTTGCATCACTGAGAGAAACTGATGCCCTGAAAAATCCAGCTCTGTCTCTCTGTTACTGCAGAGGAATTCCTTTGATATGCCTCGCTTAGGTGCCTCTGGAAGGATCCTAAAATTAGGTGGGATGAGAATGAACTTTTTCTCTTTTCAGCCCACAGTTCATACAGAGATCTAAGGCAACACCAGTCCTGGAAAATATGTGTATCTTGGTAGTAGCCTCTGAGGCCAAAGGTTTTTTGAAGAACAGATTTATGTTAGGAGTGCTGCACCTGACATAAACAGTGTTTCAAAAATGCTGGACCTGGGTTGTCACCCAAATTAGGGCCAAAGAACACTAGAGGGAGTTCAGCAGGAGTGGGAATTGTCCCCCATCTTGTGATGCCATAGGTCCTGATATGTGGGATTCAAAATCCATCTGTGAGCTGTCTTTGGTTTATGCACCATAATTCTTGGGATTCTAGATACCATTCAGCCCAGAGTCCCTTTCCCCATTCCTTGTTTTATGATAGCATCTTCTTCTAAACTCTCACATCTTATCTGCTGTGCTGCTATTTTCAGACTCCTCTGCTGGTGGCTGTCACTGCCAGGCAGCCAGCTATTGTCTATGATCTGATCCAGACAGGAGCAGATGTCAATGCTGTAGACAACAAAGGGCAGTCAGCTTTACATCTTGCTGCAACATACGGGTATGCCCAGGTTCTTCAGGTAGGAAAAGCTTTCATGGTTTTCATTGACAGCAATATAAATCTATAATAAAGTCACAATATTGGTGTATTTAAATAACTGTCTCAGAAGGCAAGATGTCAGTAAGCAATGAAAACTGACAAAAGTCTCCTTTTCAACTGTGTTAGGAATTGACTTCCCTGATTATTCCTGTTTAAAGACTATACTTGCAGCTAACATCAACCTCCTGTTACAGAGGAAAAGACTTTAGCATATCTGTGGGGCAAAATAAATTCTTTCTGCAGATCATCTAAATCTGTTGATGACAGGCTAGGTCAAGTAGGCTTGCTCTATCTTGAGCCCCCAGAGTTGTACTGATGCCTGCATTGGAGGTGGTTCCCCAGAGGCTGCAGGCAGCTGTGGGGTGTGAGGAGAGGGAGTAATACTAGTGTGAAACCCCCTCCCTGTTGTTGGTGTTGTTCAGACTCAAATCAGCTGAAGAGAGAGCGCATGTGATACTGCAGACAGAGCCAGAACAGGCACAGCCTTCAAAATGAGAGACATTTGTCAGATTTTATGCAAAACGAAGATCCATTGAGAAGATCTTCCAGGGCGTGAGAGAAACTAGATGCTCCTGTATGGCCAAAATCTACTAGAGATTTCATGGCTTAATGACCAGACCCTCACTTCCTTAGTGCTTCCCAGATCTTTCTGTAGACAGGTTCTAAGTTGTGTGCCAGCCAGACTCTAACAGCCCTGAAGAGCAAATTAGCACATTAGAAAAGGCACTGTGGGAATTTTTGGAAGGGATTACATAGCAGAGATAAGCATACTGGAGCGTGTCTCTTAAACGCCTAGCTATTAGCTATAAAATGGAATTAATAAAATGTGCCTTCCTTGATTCATGTCAGGACTGAGTATAGGCAACTTCAATGCAGAGTTTCATTGCAGCAGCATGGCTGCTGCTGAGTTTACCTGAAGGCACCCAGCACAGAGTCCTCTGAGTCTGAGGTATGCATAAGTGGAACTACCAGGGGGTACCTGGCATGCTGGCAGTCCATCTTCAGTATGCATTAGCTCTGCCTTGCACATGCCCTGGGTTATGTCACCAGCAGGCAGTTAATGTGTAACATTGTGAGTTCTTTGGAAAACAGGTGTTTCACAGATTCACAGCACTGAAATCTAGTGTCAGATAAAGACTTAGTTTGTAGTTAAATGATAATTATCCAATTGTTTGTTTGTTTGTTTTAAAATTTTGTTAGTTTTGACTGATTTTGGCTTGGACAGCATTCTGCTGAACTAAACCTTTCCATTTCTCTGTTGCTTCTAGGTTATACTGTCACTAGGTTTCCCTCTTGATTTAGAAATGAAGGATTTTGAAGGTAAACCCCTTTGTACAAATATTTTATAGTGGTATTAAAAAATTGAAAAGCTGTATTGGCTATTTCATTGACTGACGCTCACCGGTATTTGGTGGTGTGTTAGGAGGCCAGAGTGGACTCAAACTGCCTGGGGGAGAGTCGTTACTGTGCACTCAAATGCCACAGAATTCAGTGGTGCTGATCATTCAGTGGTGATTCAATACACAATTGGAGCTGGGCTCATGCTGTAGTGCCCCAGGAAGTGTCTACACAGCCAATATGGTACCTCTGAAACCAGAGAAGGGCTTGTGTCTTAACAACACATGTGCTGAGATGCATGCACTCTCCCTGCCAGCCCTTGCTTCCTCTCTGTACTTTGATATCTTTGTTGCGACTGTTATCTTTCTCCCATACTTGGCTTTCCAGGCCATACCCCACTTCACTGTGCTGTTCTGGCCCACAACGTCCTGCTCCGGGAGCAGGGTTGCCAGGCGTTGACGGAGGAGCAGCAGAAAGATCTTCGGCACCAGAGCGAGGAGCTGGAGTCCTGTATCCACCTTCTGGTGCAGACAGGAGCCTCCATTTACAGCCGGGTAAGGAATCAGCTTAGTTATCCATACACGGTTTGTTTGTATGGGAACTCTCCCATGCCCTGCCTGACACTTGTGCTATGCTCAGACTTTAGAACTGGAGAAGGAATAAACTGCTGACAGAAGGACCAAATCTGTTCGTCTTTCAAGTGACCGGTTGCAGAGTTAGCTGCTGCCTTTTGAAATTACTTTCTTGCAGCCTGAAGCAAACACTGGACAGTAAGAGGGCCACCGAAGGGAAGGAGGTGCTTCACATTAATTGCAGAGCTGGCCTGGACTTTTCTCTGATGGGGTTATAGATCTCCAGGTTGTTCTACAGAACATTTCTTATTTCGTTTGGGTTTTCTGTGTTTTTAAATAGGATGTGAAAAGCAACAAGACAGTTCTTCATTATGCAGTCCAGGATGGGAACATCTCCCTGCTCAGATACTTTTTGGAGCTGAATGCTTTCAAGTCCAAGGACTTTGTCAACAACAAGGTGAGTCAGGCCATGCATGGACAGGATTTGTGTGCACATCCAAGACAGAGGAGATGCTGAGTGCAGCATGAGAGCTGTCCTGTGGTGGGAGGCTGCATGCAGACAGAGGTGTTAGGAGAGCTCTGGGGTCCTGCAGAAACCAGTTATTCTCTTCCCACGCTTGTTTTTTTTCTGGAGGGAGAAATCAACAGTTTTTAACTCTGAACTTTTCTTTTTTTTTTTTTTAACCTGAAATTGCATTTTGCTGTAAACAGACACTTCACCTGGAAAGCAGTGCCTGGCTTGAACTCTTGAGTTGCATCATGAAATGCAGGCCCCTCTCCTAGCAGGCAGAAGCTGACACAATGAGAAAGCGAGATAACCAGGGAAGAGGAAGGACTTGGGAAGAGGTTACTTGAGGAGGAACATGAACTTTATTACATTAGGCTGCAGATTGAGAAAACAGATCTGCAATGATGCAATGCTGCTCTTGGCAGCAATGTAATACTGTAAGGTGGCAGTTTAGGGCAGCAATATATCCCTCCATCCACAGGAAGGACAAAGCTCCTATTTCAGTTAAGGGAGATAGTGATTCTTTCTGCCTTAAATGTTATTTGCAAGTCTTCTGGTTATTGTGATGGCTGTCTGCAAGTGTGAGTTTGGAGAATCAAAATATATGCAGGACTCACCAAGCCCTAACAGCTGTCAGGAGCAACAACAGAAGACAGAGGTGTACTACAGGCAGTGAACCAGTGGCTGACGCTGCCAGGCAGGTGAAGCACAGGGAAACCAGCTCAGCCTTGCTGAGCATGTGGGAGCCTAGGCAGTGTGGCAAGTAGACCACCTCTGACTCTGGGGGCTCGAGACCCTACTTTAGGCACTCTATACAACCCTGCTTACTGAGCTGAAATTTTGCTAACATTGGTTCCTCAGTGCAGGGTTTCTGGAGGCACAGCCATTCCCAAGTTGTATAAAGCAAGTTAGAAACCTCCCCAGTGCTGCTGTTGTTTCACCTATCCCCTTGCTGCCTCATACTTCACCTCTGAGCAGATACCAAGCATTGATACTATCTTGCAGATATATCAGCTTCACCCATTCTCCTAAGCAAAAATCCTGACATTCCTGCGCCTTAGCTGAGACATCGCTCTGCTTTTGATTAGCTGTTCCCTCTCAGCAGGACTAAATGGGTGATTCTGGGTGTTTCTGCAGAAGGGTACACTTAAGCAGGAAAGGAGAGAGGGAGGGGAGGACAAGGCTAAGGCTCCCTGTTTTGAGAGGGTCAGTGCATTAACTTTTCATTTAAACAATTTCAGTGTCTTAGCCTTGTTTGTACTCCCTAGAGCATCAACAAACTTGTGTCCATCACAAAGGAATTGAATGTTTTCTGTCAACTCAGTTACTCAATTGGGAAGCAGATACTGGGCAGCTTCATGAGTTTTTTTTCCCCTACAGATTTCTGTTGGACTGGAGGAAACATGTTTTTCTTTGTGTATGTGGGTAATAACACTGAGTTTCCATCTTTCTGTACAGCGAAGCGCCTTACGCTGTCTTTTCACTACATTCTTTCCGTATCTTTTAAGACCCATTAGGCAGGTGCTAGCTTGATGTGGGAGTCTGCTGTTGTCTCTCAATCAGAATCCTGTGAGAGATTCCTACTGTGATAGGATCACTTGGAGTCTTCAAGTCTTGTTGGTGAACTGTCTGGGACAGTGAGAAATATGATGGCAAGGTTGTCTGATACCCATCCTGGCTTCTTAGCTCTTCCAAGTATGAAGAAGACAAGAAAACAGGGATGCTGGAGTCCATGTTCTGGCTTCCCTGGCTCATCCACTGCAGCATATGGCTGTCTCATTCCAAATCCATTTCCTTGTGGATTTCACAATGAGAAAATCATTTGAGACCTTTGAGGTATTTTTCACCAGAAGGATTCCTAGAGCTCACATATTGGTGCTCTGGACCATTGTCCCACGTAAGCTCTATTATAGTCATTGGGAGGCTTCAAGATCAGGCATTGACGATTTGCCTTGTTTTCTTAGCCTCATGCCTGGATTTGGAAGCTATCAAGTGCTCCTGTGACAAAGATGCAGCAAACAAATGCAGATGTTTCCATTTTAACGAGAAGTCCTATAAAAAGCTTGTAACTTTCCCTTGACTCTATGGGATGATAAAATTGACAAGGATCTGCTTGTTCAGGGCTTGTAAAAAATGCCTTGTCTGAGAATAGCTGTTAAGATTATGCTATTTTGTTTTGTGCTTCAATGCCCCTTATGTCTCCGTGGTAAATAGGACCTGAAAATCATGTTTTCCTTTTAACAACTGGAATAGTAATACACATTGCAAATTGTGTCCAACCGTTCCAAGTTCATAACAAATGTATGGTCATTTCCAAGACAAAAACTATACAGCTGTCTAAATGAGACTTCTTGCAGACTAAAAATACCTTGCCTTGCGCATTTGCTTATTAGATTTTTCTTATTTAAAACCGTTACCAGTCATACCTGACTAGGCAGGGGCACAGATTTCTACACGGTCTGGTGATACCACAGCTTTTCTGCAACACATTGCAGCATGCTCTGTCCTGCGCCCCCCCGCGGCTTCGCAATGGATTTTGTCTGTCCTTTCTGTGCAAATCCCGTTACTGACAGGGCTGGAGTCAATATGTGCTTAAGTAGGCCTTTGACCGCAGGACTCTGCTTAATGACAGTGCCATGAAAATAAAGCCAGGCACTACCTTCAGCACTCAGAAGGAACCAGGAGAAGGTTTGGAGCCCAGCATGATCTATTTCATCTGCTGCAGAGACAAGACATATGCAGCCCTGTTTAGACCACGGTACACAAAGTCACTGAGGGACATGGGCTGCTGGGCCACTGGCTCAGCTGGACCACCAGGATGGCTTGGTATCTTTCACAGCACCTCTTTTTAATGCCATGGGTCTGGCGACCCAGGAGGACTTACACAGCCAAATATGCCTGGTACTCAAGAGATCAATCTGAGCCTTGCATATACCTATACGCTAATGGGTATGGCTTTCACTTGCATCAAGGTCTCTTTGCAACTTTCTGGTATGTGCAAGTGACTGTAAAAGGGCGTAGTGGAGGTGCGTGGAGCACAAATGGGTCTGCTGTTGTCAATCCTTACAGAGCCCATGTGTGGTGGGTAATACAGCATAATGTGTTTTGTGTCCCTTAGACTGACCCTAATGTTTCCCAGTGAAATAGTTCTTATTGTTTCTCCTGGATGAATATGTTACATGGCCTCTATCCTTCTGTTTTTCAAATAACTCATCGGGTCTCTGCTTACATGAGGGTACAATTTAACAGGGGGTTGCAGAGAGATTAGGAATGTTGCTGATACAGGACTACTTGTTAGCTGCACCCAGAGCATCAAAGCCCCCAGTTTTTAGTGCTCTATTTGAGAGAAAAATCTAAATCCACACGTCTCCTGCGTGAGCAGCCATACATGGAAGAAACAGAGCAGGAATACTCCCTCACCTTCTGGTAAGTAATTGTATGAGGCTTCTTCGGCTCTTGTTTCACAAATCTCCATTTCTAGGACAATTCTGAGTGCGTGGCACAGCTTATCAGGAGGTTTCTCTCTTTTTTTTTTTTTTTTTTTTTTTTTCTTTTTTTTCTTTCACTGTATTAGGCACATGGCAACACAGCTTTGCATATGGCAGCTGCACTGCCTCATGGCAAGAACCAGAAAGAAATCATCCAGTTGCTCCTTGACCACGGGGCAGACCCGAGCATCCGAAACTTAGACAATGATCAACCAATCCATATGGCTCCTTCTGGAAAAGCTGGGGATCAGGTACATGATCCACATTGCTGCTGCTTCATAACACATCTGTGCGTAACACAGCTGTCTGTCCTTATCAGTGGAACAGTGGCGACAAGTTGTGTAACATGGGTCTGATGTTGCAGTGGTGTAGGCCTGGGGGTTCCCCACTTTGGTAAATCCGTAGTCAAGGAGCAGAAAGGCATTAGCTGGTGCTCCAAATACATCTGGCGGAGGTATCAAATGTGTAGTTCTTTCATAACAACAGCAAATCTCAAGGGATGATTGGGTTTCATGCCTACAGGTATGAAAAGGCTCCTGGAGCATATTGTAGTCTCTGATATGTTTATATGTGTATTTAGTTACACAGATACATGTATATAAGTGTGTGTATGTATGTATTGGGCTGTCTGCATGCACGGTTTCAGGTGGCATGTTATGAACTTTTACATTTTTTGGCAGGTTAGGCATTTGCTGAAGAAAGGGAAAGTTGTATCTGCATTCATTTCCTGTCGCCAAAATGCCAGATCCTAGGTTGCCTGCAATTTCTGGAATGGCTTCAACTTCAGCTTGCTGATTGCACAAGGCCTCTTAGAAAACTTGTAAGGATGGTTAACCAATATGTCTCTGCTCCTGGAGTCTCTAAACCAGGGTGGCATGACAGTGTTTCTCAACCTGTGGACCATGAGTAGCATGTAAGATATCAGAAGATGAGCTTTCAAATGGTTGAAAACTTAATTTTGTTATCAAAGAATACTAATAAACCTCAAGCATTGCTTGCAAGCAAGGACGCAAGCAAAGCAAATGGCTGTTATGTAAATAAGCAAATGTCCAAAGTACAGCCAACCTTTGATTTGGTGGCAACAGAAATCCATGGCGGTGACGGAGCACAAGATGGTAGTTTGGCTATAAATGGTTGAGAAATACTGCTCTAAGACATGCTCAAACTGTGCTTCTTGTTAGGTCCTGTACAGAGGTACTGGTTGAAATGATGAAGCCTTTGTGATGTTCGGTTATCTCCATTGTTCCTGCTAGCCTGGGAATGCAGGAACCTGAGGGGAGGGAAAAGACTGGATGGAAGAGGTCAGGTCAGCCTGAGGAGTCATGCATGGCTGTATCTCACCTGAGTGAATGGGCATCTGAAATCAAGAACTGCAAGTGAGGTTTCCTGCAAGCTGCTGCTACCGCATTTCTTAGCACTTTGTGGAAGAAAGATGAAGCAGCTGTGCATTGCCACAGTCTTTCAACCCACCCCAAGAAAAGAAAACAGGTGCTTGTAAGAGCAAGTACATTGGGCATGTTGTCAGCAGTGCAGGTTTGTGTGGCTCCCCAGTGTTTCCCAGTGAAGGGATTCCTCTTTGAGACATCTGATCCAATTCAGGTCTCCAGCTCTGATGGCAAAGAATAACTCTGGAAGCACCTCAGAGTGGGAAGGAGAACCCTCACCTGAGCTAATGCCTGTGTAGGAGACAGAGGCTTCCTTTGGGTCTTCAACAGCTTTTAGGTATGGATAGGGTAGAAAATCTTTGAGCTGTGTGGGCCTGTACACAGCAAGGTCACAGTGCAATGGGGTAAGTGCTCTCCTATTCCCATTCATATCTAAGAGGGCATTTTAACAGATTATTTTTATTCTTTCTGTGAAATGATTTGTGAATTGCTGTGCAATCAGCTGGCAGCAATGTCTCTGCTGGGTCAATAAGATTGAAGGTAGATGCCTGAAGGCAATGAAAGCCATGTTTTGAAAACTCTTTCACAGAGGGTGTCTCATCTTCAGTACACATTCTGAATTATAGTTCGCTGATTTCTCAATGCTGCTCAAGTTATTTTTTCTAACAGGACTGAACAATAAGATGAAGGGCAGATGTCTTAAATCACTGCAGTAACTTCCTTGATCACCCAGTGACTAATTCAATTGGATGAGGCTTTCTACAGCACTTGTCAGTTTTGAAGACCTGGACTGTTTAAACAACTGTTCAGCAGACTTGAACAAAAGTGCTTAAGAAATGTAGAGATCTTCTCGACTTTCTCAGCCCTCCTCTCTGCTGTTTTGCTACTGCTTCTCACTACACCATATCTACAAATCTGCCAACATCCACTGACAAAAAAGCAGACATGTATTTGCATGTGTTTGCATAAATTTGCCTGTATCTGGGCATAGGCCAGTAGAAACATGTGCTTTCTTACTTTGAAGGGATGCTATAACAAACTCTGAATTGAGTGATAACTGTGTTGGTGAGTTAGTACTGTGTGTCAAGACAAAATGGTCAATGAAATATCAATTTCTTGAACTTGCTGGCAACAAAACTGTAAAACTGTGACCAGCGTTGGGCATGTGATACACTAGGGAAAATGTAAAAAGCTTTTTGCCACCTAGAAATGTCTATGAGATGACAGAAGTCCTTCTGCAGCAAGTGAAAAAGTACATGAGCTGTCTTCTAGAGTGGCTTATCTCTTTATTGTTTCATCTGCCTGCTGTTGGATGTTTAATACAGAGCAATGCCATCAGTGACTTGTAGTCTGTAAACATCACCATCTCCAGAATATCATGGAAAATATCAGTCTGAGGTGGGATGGATGTGGCTTCATTCAAAGCATCACCCTGACAGCCTGTGTTACTCAGAGTTGATAGATGAGATTAGCAGAGGGAGGAACCCATGAGCGACCCAGGAAGAGTTTATTCTCTCCACAGGCACATCTGTGTTCAGCTTCCCAGAGCTCATACATTAGAGGCCTGCTCTGAAGCCAGCCACAATCAACAAGCTGTTCATATTGTCTTTGGACTGTATCCACGAGACAGGTGGAGGCTGCTGCTTCCCCATGCATGCAAAGCACCTTTCCCTGTCAAGCCAGCCAGTTCCTGGCCCTCTGTATCAAGAAAATTCCTTTTAAGGCTCAAAGGTGGCCTGAGTCTGTGCTGGGGTGAATTTAATTGATTGGAGTAGTATCTTAGTTCACAGTTAACCCCTCAATTTTTTATGACTGTTTCAGGGGAAATGTACTTTTTATTACCTTAGCAGTACTGGCAGTATGTGATACCACTTTATTTGTACAGTTTATCTCTTCCTACCTGTGGCTTTGGATAAGCTACTAATAACAAAGGCTTGTTATCACCAGCCAAATGTTCTGAAGTGGCACCACAGAAAAGTCGCCAGTCGGTTGGCAAGGAAAACTTTTTGATCAAATACTCTGTGCAAGTGGTAAAGAACCTGAAAATAAGAAGCTTTTATTTTCTCTATAACTGTGGATTACTTCTGGAGTTATTCACGGCTTTTGTAAGAACGGGGTGATCCTCACTTTTGTGTAAACACGTGTTTATATAGGTTGGCAGAACTTCACCTGGCAGGGACTGATGAAATGCCAGTGTTTTAGTAGTGCTGTGCCAGCTCTGTTGGAGATATGACTCAAGCTACTTACTACTTTCTTTTAAAACCTTTTCTTTTTTTTTTTTTTTTTTTTTTTTTTTTGAAGGGGGGTGTGTGGAAATAAAAGGAGAAAAGAATATGTTCCTTATATCCAGAAAATGCGCAACCTTTGAATAGTCCTTCTCTGTTGTTTTTTTTTCCTTGGGTCAACAAGTCAACATTGTGTCAACACTCAGCAAGCTTTTACTTGCATTGCATATGTCACCTGGAGCTATTGACATGGAGTTGGGGAACAGTGTCTAAAATATGTTTCTATTCCCTAGCATGAGGGATTGCAAAACAACAGGAGAAAGAGAAGCAGAGAAATAGGAAGAGGCTGTAAGGGATGGAGGACAGCACTACTTACTTAATGGAAGCTGTTAAGAGTCCAGAGACGCCAGTGCATATCAACGTTTTGCTGGAAATATCCTTGTCCCAGCAGAGCAGTTGATAATTTCAGAGCAGCTGGTCCCATGCAGCATGAGACCAATAGCTGTTAAATATCTGCCATCTTTAATAACACACCGCATGCTCCCATCTCAGGACCTCAGCCGCCTGCGAGACGTGGAAGTATAGAAGCTGAGGGATGAGACCAGTGCAGCCTTTCAAGAGACAGCTTCCCCCACTGGAGAAGTGCTTTTTTGGCCTGGGTCAGGCAACACACAAGGAGCAGGAATAAGAATGGGAAGTAGGGTGATTCGTAGTGCTCATGCTCACACTGCCATTCCCAAGTCATCATGCCTAACCAGCAGCCGTACGTTCAATGATGGGCACAACCTCTCCACTGCACACCACAGTCTTTGCACAGAGCAGTCCTCTTCGGACGTGCAGTGTCACCACAGATAGTTTGTACAGATCTGTGCCACAATATAATGAATGTGCAACCTGCTGATAATGTATTAGATTTAGATATCTGTCTGATGTGGAGGTGAGAGATACGTTGTTAGACTGTAACACTTCACTTGACTTCCTTGCTGGCACTGTTGTGTACACTGGGATACTATTAACCTTGCTGTAGGATGTGTTAAAATGAATGTTCTCCTTGTTGAATGCTTTCTTACTGCTTTCACATGCTCCTTCATTTGCTGTATGAGAACACCTCATGTTGGCTCTGTTAAGCTCCGGCCAACTTTGCCAACTCATGGGGAGGATGCGGTCATCCCATTTCCACTAGAAGCCTCAAATATCTTGCCTCAACCTTGTCTTCTTGTGGCTCTTCCATGTTGGTGATAAGGGGCTTTGACATGTGGCTGAAGGTGTGCCCACTCCTCAAGCAGCAGGCAGGAGTAGCCAGCACTGAGCAAGCTGTGGAGCAAGCTGGGGCACTAGAAGTGTAACCCTCCAGTGCCCTGAGATAACACTCAGGGGCTGAAGCACCTGCCAGAGCTACTAAAATGACACCTAGTAGAGTGTTTCAGCACAGGGGTAATCACAATTTTAACTGCAGCAAAGATACAGCTGTTAACTCCTATTTATAAGCTTTTTGTGACCAAATGCATTTATCACTTGGTCCAACTCTGAGATTAATCAGGTAACAACAAGGGAGAGGGGAAGATATTATTTAAAGCTGTCAAAGTATTTTACAGCAAGTTTGGGGAAAAAAGCTGCTACTTTACATAAGGTAAAGGAACTGAATGTTGGAAAGGTGCGATTATCTCTGTGTAATCACCTTGAACAGAAAAATTGAAACATCCTGTCCAGGAACCTGGATTGGACATGGGAAAAATGTCATTTTTAGCTTACATAGAACTTTGAGGGAAGAGAACCCTGGAGGCTGAATGAGAGGTAACAGCTCTGTTTTCTGATGAAGGTGGGGATTGGTTGGGTTTTTTTGGTAGAATGAAGGAAACCTCCCTATTTGCCAGCCATATATGTGTCTGCTGCATCCTTGGCCATATGGGTAATTTCAGCTCTGGTAAGAGGAAAGCTTTTCAGATAACTGTAGAAGTGTCTGGAGAAGGTGAGCATGCAGCTAGTTAAATTATGTATTTGTCTTCACAGGTGTAGTTAGTTTTTTCATTTGTGTTGGATTTAATATGGAGCGATGCTTCTTTCTTTCCAGTCTGGGTGCTCAGCTGAGAAACTGGTGGCTTGGCAGTCTGCCTCACCAAGTGCTATTAAAAAGAGGTGAGACACAGTCTTAAAAACATCTGAGTTTATGTAAGAAACAGGGAATCCTCAGGTATGATAACTTTCCCATTATCTACTTAGGAAAAAAAAAATAAAAAATCATTTAGCTCCTGCTCAGTTGATTATGCTGAGAAGTGCAGAAAGCCCGATATCAAACAGACCAAACTATACAAAGGGCTGCCAAACTACATCAGCCTCTCACTGAAACTCTGCCTTCACAGGGAAGCTGGTATTGAGCAGCAGCCAAGGAAATTTGGCACTGGATTCAGCCTCTGTGCAGGCCTGAGGAGCCTTTCTGGCGCAAGACTCATGGGCTAAGCCCTGAGCTTGCATGGAAAACAATGGTTTTCCTTTTATGCAAGAACTGCTAGAGAATATCATCACGGGAGCCTGAACAGAAGCAGTGGCTAGGAAGCTGAGGATCCGTCTCGGAGCAGGGTGCTTCACAGCTTTCTCTGTGGATAGTGTGCTGAGATACGTATAGACTTTTTATCTGCTGGAAAGGGTAAGCAAGACCCTTCACGCTACTGAGTAATCAATCGCTCCTCATGTAGGTTGCTGAGAGTTGTTCTCCCTCACCTTTTTGGGAACAGGGCCAGGACCCTGGATCATTAGCAGAAGAGAAAAGCACTGACATTTAGCATATGAGGAATGAACAGGCTTCAGCATGTGTACCAAATTATTTATTTGTATCAAAAAGAGCTGGCTTAATTACATGTGTTTAGTAAGGCAGCTTAGAATTCCTTTAAAAAAACAAAAACAGTAAAAAAAAAAAAACCCAAAGCAAACCACCATGACAACAACAAAACACCCCTGACCATACAAGACAGGACTAATGTAGTGACAGCATCATGTAGAAAATGTGTGAGTAGTGAAGAATAAACTGGACTGTTAGGCAGCGCAACTTTGCATAGTTCATGGGCAATTAATCTGATTTGGATACAGTGGATGTGTAAAACCACAGTCCCCATTAGCTATAGCAGATGTCACAGCTCCTATCCCTTCTGAAGAAGTCATCAGCCATGGCCATGGGTGGTAAGTAGTCCATGCAGTCTGTGCTGGGACAGGGGAAGTACTGCGGGACCCTGTTGTCCACACGCTGGGAGCCACAGGCTGTGCAGCAGCAGGCAGAGGTGGTGTATGGGGAGGGAGTATGGCAGGACCACTCCTCCGCAGGGTAGCCATAGGTCTTGGTGTCCAGAGCAGAGGGTGGGCTGTGGGTCAGTGGGGTGAAAGAAGGCAGCTGAGGAGGAGAGCAGCTATAGTTTAACGGGCTGGACAGATCAGCTGAACTGGGGGATCCGGCAGGCTGGAGTTGGAGAGAGAAAAAAAAAAATGAAAACAGGATGTTTGAGGGTGTCATTTTGGGGAACGTGGACAGCAGCCAGAACATTCACTCGGTTACCTTTCCCAGGAGGGTCTGGCTACCCAGGGACATGGTTTGGCTCTTGGAGTCCTAAACCCAAGAGGCGGTTCCTGTGACATTAGTGTTAACAGGGAGCTTCTCTGTGAGTTAGACAACCACTAGCAGGAACTGGGCTGTTCTTTGCAGAAAATCTACAGGATTTGTAGAAGGGACATTCCCTATTCTGCAGCCTCTCTCTAGGTTTGGCTGAGCCCCCCTGTTCTCTGCACCCACTGGGATACCATGCAGAAGTCCACACAAGCAGCTGCATTGCTGTGGCTGCCCCCCATGCCCCTAAAAGCAGCCACATTTCCAAATGAGCTTGCTGCTGTTCTGCCCCAGGGTGTGACTCCTTTCCCCATCTTCCCTCTGAGTGCACCTGTGGCAGCTCCCCTGGGACACAAAGCTTACCAGGCCCTGGTTAAAGCAGAGCGGGACTGGCTGGAAGGTGTCTGAGGCATGGTGTGAGGATGTCTGAAAAGCACTGAAGGCTGGGTCTAAGGACGCATCTGTCTGAAGACAGGAATCTACCAGCTGCTCCAAATAGCTAGGGCTTTCTTCACAGGAGATGCAATTTGAAAACTGCCATGATGGACAATAGGTGGGAACAGAAGAGATGGGTTCTGCATCAAAAGGTGCTAGGAGAGAAGGTAAACCGGACAGTAGCAGATTATTCAGCATCTGTCTTCACAAAGGGCAAGTGTTGCCCCAGGTCAGCCTTCAGTACTCTTATATGTTCAGTAGACCTATGCATTTAGACAAGGAAAAAGGTCCTTTAAACTTAGAGTGGATTTTCTAGGGAAGCAGACACCAGGAAGAAAATGCTCAAAAGCATGCAAATAACTTGGAGAACTTTAGTCCCCTTGGAAAACGCCAAAGCTTTTCAAACTCTACTGGAAACTCTTCTGGCTCCAGCCATTTTGGACAGGAATTCAGCTGGAAACTCCCTCAGACTCGACCCTCTGGCCTCCCTTCAAATGTCAACTGTGTACAGACCTAGAAGCTTGCCATGCTGTGATTTATGCTTCACAGCTTGGCAGGTGGCTTGCACCATTGCCTCACCCAGTCTCCAAATGTAGAGAAGCTACATCTGTGGGAAGAAGAGGATAACTGAAGAATAATTTGCTCTTTTACCTTCTAAATAGCTAGACAGGAGACAAACTTCTGACCAGCTCTGAATCAGATGAAATGGAACGAGTCAGTGATAATGTGGCATTGCGTCCACGTAGTGTTACTGGCAAAAGTGCAAGTTCCTAGAAAGCTGTAGGGTCAGACTCTCACTGTGCTGCAACGTGCTTGCTGGGGGTATGAAAGCTCACGGCAGATCTGACTTTTCAGAATTATTATCTTTTCATGCTGTGTTCAAATACGGTTAAAAGCAAAGTCCTGTCGACATCAAGGGGCACAGGTCTGAAGGCAAGAGAACTGCACATGGGTAGAAAGTCACTCAGTCATAATCGTTTGCAGGTTCAAGGCGGCAGTGTTTAGCTGTATGTGGAGAGGAAGTAAGAAGCACCCAAAATACATAAACAGATGGAGACTTTCCAGCCTGAAAAGCTTTGGTATGTCTCACGTTTCTGTATTAACATAAGCAAACTGATTCCTAAATATTGATGATTTAATAATTTCCTTGTCCATACAATGTATATATTCACACCTGCCCAACCTTTTAGGTCTCTCCCCTTTGGCCGCAGAATAATTGAAGGATCTGTGAGCCCTAAGCTCTCTTCTCCCCATCCCTTTCCCCTTTCCTTGGATATTCACATACAGGAGGAAGAAACTCTTTATGTTGTTGAAAATCTGACACTCCTCTCCTATGGATGCTACCAGGAGAGTGAGAACAGCCAACTCTGCTGGAGCTCAGCAAAGTGCTCCAGGGTGATCTGACCCTCTAGCTCCAATCGGACCCGCAGACTGCAGCCTGAGGAAGGTGATGCCAGCAGTGTTATTCTCTAGGGGATGAGCATCCCTTCCTGAAGGGGATCTCACTCCTTGCTGTGGGAAAAAGAAACTACACAAATGAGAGCATGTGAGCATGTTCCTGAATGGGGTAATATGTACCCTGCTGGCCTCACGGTATCCTCATCTGCATTTCATGGGCTCCTTACATGTGCTGATTGGCTGCATGGCTGGTTATCTGGTAGTGCCTGCCTCAACCCAGGGCTAAAAAGGCTCTGGGCTGTAGGAAAAATTGGGAAGGGGGTGGGAAGGGACATGCGGATGGGCTTTGTACCAACCTGGGTGAGGAGGAGACACAGACTCTGAAAACTGGATGCTGCTGCTGCCCCAAGAAACCTGGCCAAAGAGACGGGAAGAAAGGGAATTGCAGACACTGTAACACAGAGGAACATTTTTCTTCATGCTGAGGTAAGTCAGGATTTCACTTCAATCTATTTATATAGACCTTATTTACCTCATGGCTCTGACATGAAAAACATCCCTAGCATTGACAGAACAAGATTAATGCGCATAACACGATTTTACCCATAGCCTATAACAGCACTGGAGGAGCACAACACCAACCTGGTGTAAAGCCCTTAACACAGCACCTTGCTAGCCGGCTCTTCCTGCTGCATTATTACTGTTAATTCAGCAGAGACGCGATGCCTCTGAAACAAACATGTTAATTTCTAGGACCATGAATTCCACAATGGAGGGATCCCAAAGAATTTGTAGGGATAAATATGAATGAGAATGAGTAATTAACAAATTGTAGTAATAAATCTTGAAGCATGACTAACGACAATTGCAGGTATCCCCCCATGGCTGGGCATCAGACTGGGTCGCTGATATCATATGAGAACCAGCTCTGACATTACTCCCCACTCTAACACAGCTGCGTGCCTCTGTGTAAATGGACACTCTAATTTTCTAAAAGATGCTGGAAGCTGAAGCGGACAGATCAATCTGTTCTAGGAACCTGACCTGCTGGAGCCGAGAAATCCACCCAAAAAGCAACAGGAGTTTTGATGCTTGCTGTTTGAGACCAGGATTTTACTCTGCAAATACAAACACTGGAGGTTTTTCTCTCAGTTTTAATTCATACAGACTTCTACTTAATTTCTTTTATTCAAAATGCTCTTGAGTTAGTGACTCATTTCCCTAGCAACAACTTTCTAGCACATCCCTGTGCATTTAATTCACTAAATAGTGGCTACTCTGGGCTGAAACTGCCTGTAGGACTACCCCTCTTCTCTTGGGCTGCAGATGCATAACAAGGCAGACAGAGCCATACCACTGGCAGCAGAAGTTTTCAGGTTTGGCTTTTTGCAGCGCACAGACACGTCTTATCCTGCAGGCCCTAACCTCTGGCCTCTCCAGGGCAATGCGTACCTTTTGCAGATCACAAAGGTAACCTCCTGCACTGCCACTTTTCACTTTTTCCTGTGTGGGCAAAACAAACACTGTGTAAACTCTCTGTGGGAAACAAAAGCAAGTTCCATACAGCCCTGTGACACCTGGCTACGATGAAGAGGCTGCTTCTGTTAGGGCTGGAGGGGAGGAGTGACCCAGCATTTCCAAAGCCCAGCAGTTTTGTGCACTGTTCACCCAGGCCTTTTGCCCTGTGGCTTGCAGGCCGATCAACTTTTCGTGCAATCAGCTGAAATGAGGTACAGGAGGTGGGAGATGAAATCTGAAAACCATCCAAAGCTGTAATGTCATGAACCAGGAAGAAGTAATGATTTACCAACCTCTTTATGCAAATCCCTTGAGTGTCTGGAGCTAGAGGACTCCTGCAAAGGCTGGAAGAGTGAGTGAGAGAGTACGCGTGTGTGTGTGTGTGTGTGTGTGTGTGTGCTCCATCCCCTCTTTTAGAAGGGCTAGGTGCTGCGCAGATGGGAGCTGCTGGGAGCACTGTACCTCTGGTGCCTTCATTTCCTGCCTGATCTAACTGGACAAAAAGTCTTCAGGGGTAGGGGGTGGTTGAAACCAGCTTCCTGCAGGGCTGAGACCTGTGGAAAAGGGGCGAGGTCAGGGGAGCTTCAGCGTGACAGAGCTTTGCACTGGTTGCTCCTCAGAGCTGCCCAGGTCAGGTTGAAGGTGTGTCCTGGGCATATGCTTCACCTGATGCTGCAAAACAGCTGGGTGCATGCTTCAACCTGGCCAGGCCATATTTTAAACCGGGAGCAGTGACCATAGCCTGCCTTGCTCATCCAGCATAATGATACTATTGCTGCTGTGATAACTGTGAGATGGACTGAAATTTGTCCATGTTGGCCTTCCATTGCACAGTGAGTTACACTTCTGGAGCACCAGCTCTGCTTTCTCCCTGCACTAATGGCTCAGACCATCACCTGTTTAGATCACTGCTGCAGTTACCCTGGTTAAACGTCCTTCTCCCCCACCCTGACCAGCCTGCTACACTCAGACTTTGGCAGCCTCATTGGCCCAGAGATTACAGTCTTGGCAAAAAAGACTGAGAGAGAAGAGACAAAGCAGATACCAAAGGATTTTTACTTACTGCTGCACTGGTTGCTGCTTGTCGTGCTCTTCTCTGCTGCAGTAACTCCTTAACTGTAATCTTTACTCTAACACCTTGATACACCTTGGGCTTTCCTGAAAGAATTTGTGGAAAAACACTTTACAAGATGGAAGACTTTCAGAGCATACAGCAAATCCAGCATGTTTTCAAGCATGCTCTACATGGAGACTACTTAGAGTTAACAAGATTAACTGGTCACTGTTAAGTCACTTGCAATCACAGTTTATAGCCCTCTTTAACACCTACTATTCAAGCTTGGGACAAGCAGACATTTATGAAGATGGTATTGATTATATTTAGTAATCATGCATGTTTTATGCTTTTCTATCTCCTCCTTTCCCCCACCCTCCAGGTGTCCTAATACCAAGCTCCACCTGGTGCTACTGTTGAATTTATTTAAAGTCCTATCCTATTTGCCACTCTTAAGACCTGAAAATAAATGTGGGAAGCACTTCTTCTGGCAGATGAAGACCAGGAATGAAACAATGGAAATACGCGGGCAGTTACTCAGAGGGCTAAACAAAACACAAATAAAATGACCGCTTTCATGAATCACTTCTTGCAAAACCTAGATTATCTTTTTATTTTGCTCATTCTGTACAACTCCCATTTATTTCAAACAAGTATTTAGGATGTCTTTAATCCAGCCAAAACCAACCATCAATCATCAGTCACTACCTGATGAGGGATTTTTAGTACAGGAAATGGTGAAGTATTTACCTGTTCTGAAAAATCACTTTCACTTGCTGTACTCATGGTAAAATACTTAAAGCCTCTGGCAGTTCTGTTTCTGTCCTAACTCACTACTGTTACTGTCATTCAGTAGCAGATCCTACAAACACTAGTGTCCTCTGGCCCTGTGGTCAGCTGTTCCCCAGTGGAGTCAGCTGGTTGCAGGTTCCCTCTCCTATTGCTGCTGCATGCAGCAAGAAGACACTGCCGGATTTGGTGGGTTCTGCCCAAGTATCCAAGAAATCCCACGCTGCAGGCACTGCCCTCTTCTGCTATAACCTCTCCCCACTGCCAGTGGCTGTATAGCATCTATACCCTCCTGTCTGCCTACCTCCAGCCCTCCTGCTGCCCCCTTGGGGCTCTGGTTGAGGACATGCTGTAACAGGCATGCAGGTCCCTCCACAAAGGTGGCAAGCTGAGCTGGGTCTGCCTCGAGGGGAGTTTGCTGAGCTGTGCTCTCAGCAGCTTGGGATTATTCATCTCATATTTTTATGTTTTGTTTCTATTCAACAAACTGAAGATGGGGAAAAGGAGGGGCGAGAGGGGTTGAATTTAACAAGAACACCCTGTGACCAGGCCTCCCTGTAGCCAGGGAAGGCCCTCAGCTAGCAGCCCCTTCTGCAAGTTTGGGTTCATGCTGCATGGAGCCTCCTAGGTCTGGTCTGCACAGGACAGGGCCAGGGGCTATGCTACGAGCACCATAAAGGCAAACTAGCAGGTGAGGCATGGACACATCTGTAACGCAGGGGCTGGCTGTCAGGCAGCCCCCACCCCCGGCTCCCGTGGCAGAGCACTGTGCCCCAAGGATCCTGCTTTTCCAGCACCCCCAAGCCCCAGCTTGGTCTGCCCGCAGCTGAGAGCACTGAGAGCAGGACTGCCACGGCCAGCTCTCCTGAGCCGGCCAAGCTCTGGATGGAAGGGGCAGGGTGGTGCAGCAGGGTTAGGGGTCAAGGAAGGGAGCGAGGAGGGTGGGCTGGTGGCCAGGGCCGGCTGGGAAGCAGGAGCAGGGTGACGAGGGCGGGCTGGGGGCCAGGGTGGGCTTCGGGCCGGCGAGCACGGCGGTGAGGGCAGGCCGAGGGGCTGCGTGGCGAGGGCAGAAAGGGCGCGGGGGCCGCGTCTCCCCCCGCCGGGAGCCGCGGGCGCCGGGCACGGCAGCGCTTCCCCGCCGGGAGCCGCGGGGACGGCCGCCGGAGGGCGAACGGCGCCGGGCCGGGCCGGGCCGGCTCCGCGACGCCCCGGCTCCCCCCGCCGGCCGCTGCCGCCGGGCCGGTCCTGCCCTGCCCGCTGCGCTCCGCCGCGACCCGCAGCGCCCCGGCCCCGCGGCCGGGACTCGGCGGGCTGGAGACCTTCCCTGCCGCCTCCTTCCCTCCTCCCCGCCCTCCCGGGTCCTCGTCGCTTGGGAGGCGAGATCGCCTCGCTCGCGAAATGACCCCGGCGAACCCCGAAACAGCCCCGAAAGGGGTGGCGGGCGGGGGCGCGGGGAGCGGGGCGGGGGCGGGGGGCGCGGAGGGTCTTACCGGACATCCTGAGCAGGAGCGGGCAGCGCCTCGCCGGGCGCCCGGTGCAGCGACAGCGGTGGCCTTGGCCCCGGCCCCGGCCCCAGAGCAGGTGAAAGGGTGCAAGAGGAGACAGGCTTAAAATTTGGGGGCGAAGGGACCTGCTTGCCTGGTGGCAATGCCAGGTGGATCCTGACAATATTATTGTTTTATCCCTACAGGTATAAGTTTGAGTTTTTCTCTCCTAATGCCAAGTATTTAAAACCTCTAGAAACCAATGATTTGACAATCAATGATTGCGCGATACTTTCAATTTGAATATTCAAAGGCTCCACAAAATGGGCTATCTTTTTGTGAAACTGAGCACATCCCCATCTAGCAGAGGGTCTGGGGGAATAAGATTTGGTGGGGCCACCCTCCTCACCCTTTGCTTTTGGGACATTTGCAGGGTTTTATCCATCTTTCCCCAAACAAAGCAGATGCCTCGAAACCGAGTCAGTATTTTCCCCTTAGACGCAGAGGCTGGGCTCCAGCCCTCTCATATTTCATTTATTACCTGCAGAGAGGACTCTGCAAGGGCCTGAGCTGCTTTTTGCACATTTTTTTCCCATTTTGAGGCTAAATACTAAGGTTTGGGGGCCAAAATGGCAGTGGGTGGGTGTGGCATAACAAAGAGGCTGTGCTGGGCACCCAAATAGCTGAAGTTACCCAAACCCCACTTCTTTCCACAGCACTCTCTTCCGTCTGCCCAGATGCTGGGCTTGTAATGGAGTTTATTTGCATTTTCCCCTAATTCAGACTATTGGCTCTTTCTGCACAAATTGGCCCTCTTTTTTTACATGCTTCAGTGCTGGTCTGCCCTGTGTGCTGCAAGTGGTGGGGTTTCAGTATGTGGAAGGATGACACACTTTTTGGACAACCTTTCATCACTATACAATACTGAGGTAGCTGGGGTTTTTAGGTTGCATTTAAACTTTTCCTTAGGCACTGCATCCTCCGCCATGCCCTGGGAATATCAGGCTGAGGCAGAAAGCAGGCCAGGCTGTTAAAAATCTACTAGCAGTTCAGTTTGGCTATTGTTGCAGCTGAATCTGTTTCTTTAAGTCGAACAAATATGCTTGATTTCGGTGGGGAGTGGTCACAGCAGCGATGCCCTTCCTCGCACTGAAATGTGCCTCTGCAGCTCCTGGTAGGCCAAGCCTTGCTCTCGGCAGCTCTGCAGGAACGCTTCCCACAGGCCCCTCTGGAGAGGAGCCCTCTCCCCCACCTGCGATGCAGCAAAAAGAAGAGTGCTGTGCTGGGGGAGTTGAAGGGGAGGGGTCTCGGGGGAGTACACAGGCCTGCCCTTGCTAAGAGGTTTGGGACGTGAAGCCCTTGTGTTGCTGGGGCTGCTTCCCGCTCAAGCATCAGTGGTGGGTGGGTAGAGCCCCGTGAGGCCATGGGCACTGGTGCTCCCAGGAGCCGAGGTAATGTTTACCTCTGTAACCAGAGACCACAGAACAGAGCGTGCAGGCTGCTCAGCACCAGTTGTGACTGAGCTGTACGCCTTAAGGAAACACGAAGCTCCTGTGTCTGGGGTGTTCCTGCATGTCCTGGGCTTTGAAGCATTTTCAGCTTCATAGAGACCCTGCCTTGGTTAAGAGCCAAATGCTAGAGTGGGTCAAACATTTCCAAGACAGCTCAAAAACTTTCTGTCCCTGCTTCTCCCTCAAAGCCTGATGGGAATACAGTCTGACCCTGGTGTCCCTATCCATCCAAGGTGCTTGCAAAAGGTACGGCTGAGAAAGTTGGTGATTGCTTTGCTATTTTGTCGACAGCAGCTACAGACAGCAGTTCAGCCTGTTGTCAGTTGTAGTGTGGAACAAGGCAGTGGGCTTGTGCAGGCCTCAGGTTTTGGGGCACAGGGGCTGGAGGGGGGACAAGGAGACCTGCACAAACCCTGGAGATGCTTTGGGTCTCCATGCCTTGCCCTGGCCCATGGTCAGGGGAGCAGCTCTGGCTGAGTGAATGCCACCCCAGGATGCTCCATACCTGCTGCTCACGGGAGCCTGTGGTGCCCACAGACCAGACAGGGAGGCAGCTGGGCTCAGCTCGCCCACACTTAGCATGTGTGCAGAGGAGCCTGGGTTGCTGGCTTAGCTCTTTCCCTGGGCTGATCTTTCCCTGTCTCTCCAGGCTCTGACCCCAGGACAGCTCCTTGGCCACAGCCCTGGCAGCATAGCGAGACCCACGGGCACCCATGCCATTCCTGCTGCTAGCTGCTGTGGCAGGCTGCAGGCCCCCACAAGGTAGGAGCAGGGGCTGTGCTGAGCCTCTGAAGACATAAATGGGTTCTGCTGGTGCTCCTGCTCTTGCAGCTGCTTCTCAGCTGTGCTGCGAGGGGTCAGGCTGAGAGGTCTGTCCTGGGGCAGCCTTTGCAGAGCCTTCCCTTTTGGGGCAGTTGCCAAGATCCCTGGAAGCACTTATTCCATCCTTTGATGCCAGAACATACTCTGGATGGTTTGCAGGTGCCTGAACAGCCAGGGAGGTGTTGTCCGGCAGGTGTGGGTTGAGCTTGTGCTTGTGCAGTTGCTGCAGGTGCACCGAGGTGCAGGGATGTTCTTGGGCTACAGGATGAGGGGTGCCAGAGGTGATGCTAGGTGATACGCCTGTAAAAGAAAGTGCTTTGTGTAGGGGACTGGCCTGGCCCTCTTGGCAGCTCTCTGCAGTGTTGCTTACAGGGGCCCGATATTGCTGCCTGTTTCTGGATGCCGTACTTTGTCCCCAGTCCACATTCCCTCACAGAGAGGTGCCTGCAGGAAGCATGGCATGAGGAGATGCTCTGGTCCCGATCCTATGACTCCAGTGCCACTTAGGATACTCGGAGGGTGCTGAGAAGGCTCTGAATGTCCCATCACCGCCAGGATTTGAGGAGGAAAGGCAAGGAGGGCCTTAAAGCATCTCATCACTACACACTCTCAGGTGCTAAAAAGCTCCTGTTCCTCTTCAGCGAGGCTTTTGTTGCTGCTTCTGTGGGTGCCAGGCTGGGGGATGAGATGGGGCAAAGGGGGTAGCCTCCACCGGGTATGGACGCAGCAGGCAGGAGTGGCTGCATCTGTGAGGGTTGCACAGGACTCCTCTGTGCGTGTTTGTGTGTGCAGAGCTACCTCTAGTGGCTGTGGGCCCCGGCCAAGCGCTGGGACTTCAAATCAGCCTTCTTCCCAATTACAGCCCCCGGTGGGTGCCTCTTGGCAAGGGGCTGGGAGCAGTCTGCCTCACGCCCACTGACACAAGGCTTCAGGTCACATCACTTGTATTGATCTGGCATAGGCAAG